TACATTGATATTCCAAAAATGTGGAATATCTCACGTACTTGACATCGATGGATTTTGTGTTTTGTTAAATCAATAAATTATTGTTTTTTTTTTTTTTTTTTTTCTCTTTTTTTCGAAGAATTATATATGTAGAGAATAACTGACGTAAAACTTGGAAAAAAGATGATATTGTACATATGCATAAATAAGATACAGTTTTTTCATATAAAATTTTTTGTTTTCAGCAATTTTTAAATTTCATCGGACTTTCCTTAACGATGTATAACTGTCAGTGATAAAATATACATGTGTGTGTACATATAGTAAAAAGAAAGAAACTTGCTATTGTAAGAGATTTTGATACGCATTAACAAAGTCGCAACAACGAACGTTCGCGTGCACGCGTGAAATACGAGTCGCGTCGTGACGTGCCTAACTCGACGACACGCAGTCTCGAGAATCAGCGCGACGTGACGCGTGCAACCGAACCGTACCGTAATCAGCTGTAGCGCAACCGCGAATGTGACTGGCAATATACCACTCTTGAACGTGTCTCGCGCTAATGCGAAGCATTCGATCGATATACATATACATCGTGGCATTAAAGCGTAATCCAAAACCTTTAAATCGCTCGTTAATGACATATCATTGATTCGATTTATGCTGACAATGAGAGAAAGAAAAAAATTAACGGCATATTGCGTAAGATATAATATTGTGCTAGCAACATCAATTATTTCGGGAACGTTGTCTTTATGCAGCTAACGGACATTTTACATCTTCATAAATGAGATAATTGTTTTATTTACGAGTAGAATTTCGCGTAATGATTTTATTATTAGCGGTAATCAAATTATTATCGTATGTGAATTTCCATTCTCCTATAATTAATACGCATCTTCCCTTCCACTCTGTGGACAAAGAATACTCCTCATCCGTTAATTATCCTTGTGCAGGATGTTAACGAGTAATGGCAGTTTAATTATTCGCTCCTTTTGTCCAAGCACTATGCCAGTTGTTGAAATAAAACCGAACGGTATATCCATCCGTTTTACGAATTAACGACGATCCTTTATCGCGTTGCATGAGAATAATCGCCGGAACTCTTTTCTTTTTGGTTTCATCGCTTTAAATGTTAAGAACAATGAAAGTTAAAACTTGGGAGAGAAAAACTTGGACAAAAAAATGTCTCAGTTTTATAAATTAAAGAAAAGTTTCTTTAAATCTATATTCTGCAACATGTAAGATTAAGAATATAGACACACGTTGCTTATTCATGCGTAACATTTTTCTGTGCAGTGTGAGCCAGCTGATGGAGGCGATCGAGAGGGAATGCGGTGTAGTAGCGACGCATCAGGTGCTCCTTATGAGCGGGGGCGAGTGTCTGGAACCCAATGCACGTGTGTGCTCTTACTCAGCTGGAACCGACACGAATCCGATCTATCTGTTTAGCAAGGCTGCCATTGAGAGTAGCATTCCGCCTACGCCGAGTATAGATTACGGTTCCGGTGAGTAACGAAAAAAATCTCTTTTACTTTATACCCGCGTGTCACTCTCATTTCAATAATAATATATCGTATATAAGTGATTTCACAATAATTTGCGCTAAAGCATTAGCTTGCGTAATTTTTTACATTTTTACGTATATTGGTCGACATTTATTATGAGAGCCAAATTTTATTTTTGATTACCGTAGCAAACGCCTTTGAATAATTTTTTTTACATTTAATTAATGTCATCACTCTTATTGATTTATATTATGTTTTTAAATACTCTGTATTTAAAACTACGCACGCATACATAAATAAAAGTGCGTGCGTGCACATATGTGTGCGTGTCAAGTAAACTACACAATCTCTATGTTGCGCATTTTATTAAATGTAAATAATTTTAATATTGAGCGCAATAATAAAACAAAATTAAATTTTATAGTGTACATAATATTTATTCTCATCATTTCGCGCAATTCTCTATTATCGTCACTTTTGTAGGAAAATTAAATTTCAGTAATAATATATGCACATTATCGCTTATAGGCTTATATAATACTTGTGACAATATTTAAATTAGCGTTTATCTCGCGTCAAATTAATTCTTATCGTAGCGTAATAAATTTGTGAACTTACTCAACATAGCTCGATAGGGACGTACGATTCTCGCGACTTAATTTCAATATTATTGTATAATGGTAAATTCAGATAATTAATTTCGATCAAGGTCAGGTTTAAACCGAGAATTCTGGAATACCATATCTCGTTGACATCGCTTCATTAACAAAGAATCACACTAATAACGATCTTTATCATCGCCTACTCGAAAAAGAAGGGATAGGAGATTAAGGTCGATAAAATATCGAGTTGAAAATATATCCAAAGATAGCTTTTTACTTACTATATTCGTTCTCTCTTTCTCTCTGATTACGCGTATGTATCATAGACGCGAGACATGATTTAATAGCGTCGCATACTTTTTGCGATGAATTGCAAATTTCTATACTGTTTGTGATTCGATCACAAATTAGACCCTTGCGAGATCAATACATAAAACGGCAACAGACACGTTATACATCTGGTAGAATCTTGATGTCATCGCGAAGACTTAGCGTAATTGTCCGAGTTAGGTCATATGTTACCGCTGCGAGATTTTGATCCATTGTTAATGAGCTTCGTAATCAACTGTCCGACCTGATTCTATTATTTACTGGATAATCATCCGGCTCTCCTTTCCGGTTGCACGTGAGTAATTGCATCTCGGCAACGTGATACTAAGAGAACACCAAGTTCCCGTTGCGTAGAACACGAAACTAGGCCGGCCAACTAGACAGCGTAACGCTTTTCCGCGAGTCGTAAAAATTATATGCCATACTTGCTTAAAGTACGACGAGTTGAGTCGAGAAAATACTCAAAGCAGCTTTAATCCTATCGATCACGCTCGAATTACGTACTTTGAAAGTTCTTCTCGTGACTATCGTCGCAATGTTGTACTTAAATGCGTTTGCCTCTGTCGAAAAACGGAAACATATAAGGAGAGACATGCTAAATAAAAAGTCTGTTGAATTATAGCAAACATTCCTACAGTCGATTGAATTATGTCATGTACAGACAAAGGTGATATAAAAATTTATTAGATGGGAACGTACAATTTAACTTGTAGATGAACGAATCCGGTGATCGCGATTTTTTTATCATTATACACACAGATTCCGAACTGTTGACTTTATCAATTTTCCAATGAATACGCGCAATATCGATCGTAGTGTAGATTGTAATATTTACTATGCTACTGCTATTTATTACATTTTTAAAATTATATTTATTACTTTTATATAAAAAGTATCTTGAGATGATACTCAACTTTAGTCAAGCTTAAATTGAGTTTAGGATTGTCAGTCTTCTCTATAAAGATGACATTGAATCGGTCGTTGTTTTGTTTGAAATATCGCATTACGCTAAGCCACGAATAGAACGGATCCCCGTTTATCGAGAATCGAAGATACCGCGTGACATATTGAAGTGGTCAGCTAGAGGACCTTATGACAGTGCTTCCGTCATCAATCGTGAAAAACGCAAAACATGACGGAAGTATCAGAATGTCTGCTTACCGTTGAATATACTTGATAAATTACCGTCGTTATCTTTTTATCGATGAATGATAGATCCTCGAACCAAAAGCTAAAACAAAAGACTTTATTTATGTAGCGGTCTGTCAGCGGTTCATAATTTATGTGTACGTATATGTATGGTGTGGAGATTTTTTCGCGCATCAATCAACAGTTATTAGATTATTAGATTTAATTGACTGATTTTTTTCTTACCGGACATTGTAACGAATTGACTTTGTGATTTAATCAGCTGATTTTCGTTGACAGGCGAACGGGATGCGAGCAAAATTGCAGTTTCCGCGAGATAATATCTTGTGCTCGTATTTTACGAGCTTACCGGCTCCATCTTTGAGCATTATAATTATTGATTTTTCTCAAGATTGACTTAATCAGTTTATTTCAGATAAAATGATTTTATAAATTTACATAATCTCGGATAGTATTGCCGAACAAATAGCCATCAAAAAATAAATGGCAGTGTATAATATATTTACGTTGAGCTTTATATTAGCAAGTATACACTATAAATAATAGTCTAAATATCGTAATGTTATACAATATAATCGATATATCCTTGTACACACACATATATTTATCTTTTCTATTTCCAGTTACAAATATTATTAAAATACTTATCTTTTTCTGATATCCATAAATATGTCTCTAATATGCACGCACATTTAGTGTAATTATCTGTCCGTGACACGATAACTTATTTTTTTAACAATCGTATGGCATACACATCTTGTCTGTGGTAGGTAAGCCCAAGGCATTATAAAGATATATTGCTATTGCGTTGTAAAGAGATATTGAGCAAATACAGAATACAAAAACAGTAATGTTCGATGGATGGATTTAGCGTTCAGAATCACAACTTGGAGCAAATTCTATGGCAAACTCTATTTATAAGTGATAATTACTATTTAAATCAAATAAATTTTGTCAATAAATAAAAGAAAGATAATTTATATATACAATCATTTACTATACGTATATTGAAATTAAACAGATTACACAGACTTATTCAATTTTTTTGTTTTTGATTGCTTTTCACGTGTTCTTATTATCTTATTCCATACATTATATTTTTATTATCAAAAACAATTTGCTCTATTTATTATATATAATATTATGCGTGCACGTGTGCAAAACCTTCATATAAATTTATAATTATTTATTTATATGAAAAACATAAATAGCGCCTTGGTTTTTCGCAACGGCAAATCGACATAATCGTATCCGGATTTGAGATCTCATTAGAAGAGTTACAATAATATCGAATCAAACTTTAGAAATTATTAAATCGTTTTTTCGAGATGTAAAAATAAAAATGCGCTAACGTTGTTAATATTTCTGTGGGATATACTGCCTGCTTACAGAAAGTTATAATAACATTTCAAAATGTACAAGCAAGTAAATTTTAGTCCAAATATTGGTGATATTAATGTACGCGCATGACTCGATTATTTTCTTTATAAAAGTTGAAGGAACGCTTCGATAAAGAGCAGTAGCTTATATATCCAACTTGATTATGACGAAGAAAAATATGTTTTTATGAAACATATATTTTTTCCACTTACTTCTGAATTTTCCTTCAAAACTTTTCTTCTCATTATACTGATTTCTACTATGTACGTAATAAAATGGGAAATATTGAGTGTACATATTTCGTAATATGTAGTATTTCTATTAGAAATTCAAAGGACGTTTTTGAAAAAGAAAATATGTTAATAATTTTTTAAAATTGTGTATGTGCTTGAAAAAGATACGAAAGTAAAATATTTATTACATAATTTAAATATATAAATATTATTGCTTACAGTGCTTTTTGTGAATAAAAGATAGATATACATATATTGCCAAGGTTGTATAAATGATGCAAGAGCAAATAAAATTGTAAGAGATACTTTAACTGTCATACGAGATCAAAAAACACATTGAATGCTTTTTATGTTTCTAATATGCTGTAAATCGCAATGTGCTCAGGGAAGAAATAAAAATGAATACATGTATGAAGAATAATCGCTGTCAGGGGTTATCGTAGCTTGGCACTTCCAACTTCAATATTCAGAGGATTCCTGATTATTAATCTATAAATTGCACGTGTGCTTTATGAATAGTGCAGAAGGCTCGATGAGCAATGTAACGTTTACATCCGGCATACTTGCTTTTTTTTTGCGATATCTGTCGATGACGATTCAACTTTCGAGTCTGATAACATTGCGGCATCTCTTTGCTCATTGTTCAATTGTGCATAATGATATTTTTTGCATTTGCAAATTAGTAGGGTCACTCGGACGACGATCTAAAGATCGGGATCGGTCATACATAAATATGTTATTATAAAATATGCGTAATAGAATATGTAAAATATCGTCTAAATCTATTGATATCACAAACGCTGCATTAAAATTTTTTTCTCCTATTCTTTAATATCTTTTATTGCATTGTTTATTCTGATTCTTTTTGATAGAATCTTTTTTTTGCGATTTCTCCTGCGACTTTTTGCACGTGAATTAATCTTGTTTGTCTGAAATATAATTCGCTTCTTAGATCTTAGAGAATGATGTAAGGTTATCGAAGCGATGCATATCGTGTTGACCTTGGAGTTTCATCGCGTGCCAAGATTACGCTCTTTGGCGAACTTCGTCGATCAATTACACACTTGCTACTCGAGTTAATACCCGATTTGATGTAGTTTCCGTTATTAGGTCTTGTCAAAAATTAGAAAAAACAGAAAAACAAATTTTTAAAAACAGAGCCACTTATAATTTCAATATTTCATATATGTATATTAATTATAATTTACACACACACATATATATATATATGCAATAAAAATGTGAAGCCAAGGATTCATCTTGATTTTTTGTTTACCAGATGTGGATCTTCAGACCCAGATCGATGCTTCGTTGGCGATGCCGGCTACCTATCAGACTCTTTGTGCACGTGCTCATCTGGCTCAGCAATGTTGTGGCCTGGCACGAGAACAGACAAGAATCTGCGAGAAGCTAGTTCATGATCAGCACCTTCAACAGCAAGGTTGGGCTGCGGTAGTTGCGAATCTCGAGGATATCACACTAATGTTTCAAACACGAGCCGAGCAATTCCAACAAGCTTTTGTCTTGTATCTTGCTGAGAGGCAGCGACATACAGAACTCCTTGACAAGTACGATTTTTCTATCATATTTATTTTATTAATATATAAATATATCGGGGTCATCAATAAGCTGAAATTAATGTATAGGAATTTCTCAATAGCTGTGTTGATTAATTCCTACTAAAAGTGTGTAATTAACAGATTGGCAGATTTAGCGTACTTTATAAAGTAAACCAGTTTTTCTCAATGAGCTACAAACTATTATAGTTAACATAACAATACTGCTCTGAATAATTATTTTAATTAATTAATGGGACATAATTGCTATTAAATCCACCTTTTAATTATCATAACTTTGATTATTGTGTATAATCGTCGCCACTTCAATTACCGTTGATTATAATGCTAATAAGTAATTAAATGTGCTCAAGCCATTTTAATTTTATTCAAAAATACACGCATCAGAGTTTATAGTCAATATATATTTGCCAAACATGTAGCCGAAAATATTGCTAAATACTTGATAATATCCTAATTTGTAAGCACATTGAATTTTTAAATCTTTCTTCGAAAATTTTGATTTGTGCCTTCGAAAAAAAAAAAATATTTTAAATGAAATCGTTTTCTATATTATTAAATGACAAAGAGATCGACGTGTGAAGAAACTAATGCCAGTTGTATTGCAGTTTTAATGCTGATCTTGGTACTCTCGCGAAAATTCCAATTTTGCCGGCTTTGAGAGCTCAAGCGGAGGGCTTGTTGAGTTCGGATGATCAACCCAGCCAATCCTCCGAGACTGCGTCGGAGAGTCCCGGGGAAGTGCTTAGTCTGCTTCGATGGATCTCCGCAAAAGACAATCAGAGCAGCCTGGAGCAAGTGGCAGATCAATGCTCGCGTGGCTTAGAGCAGTTCGATGAACGATTGATGGAGGCTTTGAAAGCTGAAGTAAACGCGGGCATGGACAACGCCAACAAGCAAGACATGAAAGAAATCAAGGGTTTGGGCGAGAGGCTGTTCGCCCTAGAACAGCTAATGGTGCAGACCAAGAGGCTCGTTCACGAGCAGGGCGAATTAGCTCAAGGTTTTCTGCAGAATCAGAATCGCGCGAGCAATCTGGGCGATGCGAGCGTCTTGCCCGATTTATGCACTTCCCACCGGCGACAATTGCTCGTCATGTTGCAGAATCATAACCAGTTGCGCGACATTCGTCGTAGATGCACCAAGGCGAAGGAGGAGCTCTCGGTGAATATCTATCATCGTCTCAAATGGATCATGTATGTGGAAAACAAGATGGTGGAAGTGGGCAACAAGTTGATCATATATCACGAAAGCCTGAAGCGATTGAGGAGGCATCTGGAGGTGCTCCAGCAGATCCATTTGGCCCCGCAAATGTATATAAGCGCGGTGATTGAAGTGGTTAGAAGGCGCACGTTCTCGCAAGCTTTTCTCGTATGGGCCAGCAATCTAGCTTGCCAATTGTTGACGGTTCACAGCGAAGAGCTAGCGCGTAGACGAGAGTTTCAGAGCAAATTTAACGGTCACTTCTTGAACACCCTTTTCCCGGGTCTGGAGGACACGCCGCCGCCTTTCGCGACACAGGCACCTTCCGTTTTTGATAATGGACTACCGAAGGTAGAGTTAACAAGAGATTTTGTTAATCATTACTGAAATAGATACATTATCGTATAGCTTATTCCTCTTAATGCTTGATTAGCTGACCGCGGACGATATGGAGTCATTGAGGTCGCAGCTTCCGGACTTGGCACTAACTATCTCTACGCCAGATTTAAACAACATCACACAATTCTTTTTATCCAAGAGTTTCACCGAAGGCAGCACTGGCGATATCAAGGAGAAGGACGCTACATCAGTGAGCATCGATATTCCAGCAAAGGAACAAGAGCGCGCTAGAGCGCCGTTGTTATCCGACAGGTAAATCTTTGGTAACAGGTCGTTATGTTGTGTCGCTTTTACAGATGAAATATTATAGATTACGTAAATACCACGAACGTCATGATTATGTCATGTTGATTTTCAGGGGCGACTTTGAGTCCGAAACAGATACGGAGGAGTTTGAAAAGATCGGTCAGGCCGGTGCTGACGCGGCCAAGCCCGGCGTGTTCGACGTTACGAAACAGAAGCGGCAGAAGCAATTGGAGGTTGGTGCTTCACGAAGCGTGTCCCCCGCTTCGTCGACCTCGACTAACGTCTCCCCGTTAAATTCGAAAGTCGCGGATCTAACAACGCGTTCGTCCACGTCAAGCGAACCCGGTTCTTTCCAATTTCCCAGTTTGTCCGCCGTGAGCGAGCGCCCGGTGCAGCTGAGTCCGCTGACCGAGTGCGTGGAGAACGGCGCTGTTGATTCCTCTGTTTGCTTGCTCCGTAACGGCGCGAGTGGCCTCTCAAACAAACGCGACGCTCTACCACTCGAGGAGCAACATTCCTTGAGTCCGAATCCCTCCTCCTTGCCACGGTCCTCCGCCATGTGCGACGACCAGCAGCATCATTATCATCATCCGTTGTCCGGTAGCGGTGGTAGCAGTCCATCTGTCGGCGTAGGCGCTACCGATTTTATGGGTACCGAGTTTTACATGGATGAATCTCTACCGAGCAGTCTCAGTGAGCACCCTGTCGACGGCCAGCATCAGGCTATCATGTCCCTCCTTCAGGTACTGGACGAATTACAGCTCGCTAACAGACAACTCTCGTAGCCGTAAAATGTTCCATGAAGAACTGTCTTCGTCCTTCACCATTACCTATCATGCCTCTAAAATGTACAATCTTTTCTTTTTCTTTACTTATTTTCGTTTATTCTTTTCTCTCTTTGTTTTGCATCAAGATGTCGAAATTTATTATTGTTTGAAAATTATTGTTCGATATTCCATTTACATAGATATATCCGTAGTTGATATTTTCTTTTATTCTTTATAATTTTTAGATACTTTTATAATCATTATCTTTATATTTATTAAAACTGACTATATGCATTTTGTGATTTGTGAGACGTGGATATCGTATGTATCGCTTCTTGTGTTTTGCAATCGCTCAAACCAATCGAATTCGATCTTATTGCGCTTTCAACTGATTTCTCTGTATCGCTTGCACAAACATAATGGAATCAAAAATATTAGATACGTGTGCGTCAAGTACGTGCGTGCGCGCGCATATATATATATATATA